ATTCTTCAGTACTTAAATAGACAAGTGTAAGTGATTTCACTCAAAAGATTAACTCATTTAGTCAACCATTAACTCATCCTGTCAGCCTGAGCAAGATGCATTTTTCCTACAGTCATCATATATTCTTAGTTTCAAGTTGGAATGCGTGTATCAGCAAGTGGACGATGGGAGTCAAATAGACATTCTGAAGACCATCGCATTCTTCAGTACTTAAATAGACAAGTGTAAGTGATTTCACTCAAAAGATTAACTCATTTAGCCAACCATTAACTCATCCTGTCAGCCTGAGCAAGATGCATTTTTCCTACAGTCATCATATATTCTTAGTTTCAAGTTGGAATGCATGTATCAGCAAGTGGACGATGGGAGTCAAATAGACATTCTGAAGACCATCATAAAATTCCTTTGCAGTTTGGATGTCTCAATATCTAGTCTCAAAATTTGTTAATTTCATATTTTATAACTCAGAAGTCTGAGTAACATTTATCTAAAAGATTAAAACACTTAAAAAAAAGTTTGTATGTCCTTTTTTCTTTTTCCCAAGCATTCACCATCAATTTTCACTGGTCTTCATCTGTTACACTCATGTGGTCACTCATGTTAATCTCTAGGTATACTATGGAACAAAAAAGTGTTAACATATATTGTCCTTATTCACTAGCTTTTCTTTTTTTTTTTTTTTAATGCCCTAAATTTTAGCTCTGGGAGTCTTAAAAAAATTCTTTACAATATAATAATTGCAACATATTCACAATATGAATAAAAATTCTATGAAACATTATTTACAACAAATTCTTCACAATAAACACTCATTTGATTCCTATATTTGTTCGAGAAATACTTATGAAGAATTACGATGTATCAGGCATTATTCTAGGTGTCAAAATTCAGCACTGACCAAAACAAAGTTCCTTTATTACATGCTTCATACAAATTATTCTAGGAATTTGGAGTTTTACAGCTGTAAGGGGTTGTAGATGATATAGTAAAATCCACTAATTTGCAAACAAATAGCTTAAGCCAGAGAGCTTAAATAACTTCCCACAAGGTCATGAAATTAATGTCAGAACATGAACTAGGAGTTGCTTGATGATTCCTACTATGATCATCAGTTCTTGCCCTTAATAGGAGGAGAATACTAAACATCTTTGTATATGTATCCTGGGATCTTCTTCCTTTTCTAGGGCATAAAAGGGCTAAATTTCAGATGTTTATGTTTAGGGCAGTTTTGCAATTTATCGTCATTTTTGAAATAGTTTTTATCCATCTGTCCTTAAATCTGTTCACTCGGCCCAGGCAAATTACCATGATAAAAACACCCTTGTTGATATATGTGACACAGAGAATGAATGCTGAGTCATATCGGTTGTTTGCTCTCTGATGTCTTTCACATCAAGTCTAATTTATTCTAGGATCTAGTCAGCTGTCCCTTGTGATTATAAAGTCGGTTATTTATTTCGAGTCAGCAATTTACATCACCATTAAAACTTTTAGATTGTGAGATAGGCCTTCAGCCTTCAGAATGAGGCAGTGCAAGGTTAAGGTGGTCAGAAGTAGCTTTTAACTCAGCTGCCCTACACTATCCTTCTGGAAAATGAATGTAAAAGAGAATTCTGGGAGGGGGAACTTAATTTTTAATAATCAAACACGTTAGTAATCATCTCTCATACATTCTTTCAGTCCTTCCAGAAACTCTGAAAATTGTGTATGGCAGTAGGAAAAAAGCATACTAAGTGAGACAGTGCTTCAGCTCCACGTTGTAGGAAGCAGGTGGAAGCCAAGAGAGCTAATATTTCACCATTAAGCATGCTTTCAACCGTAAATATGAGGTGCCGGAAAACTGATGTGTATGTCTTTGAAGAAAGTATTTGATTCAACTTTACTGCCTACCTAGGTTCACTTTAAGGCATATTTTGTCAGGAAAAACTTGATACATGCATTAACCTTTATAAACATACAATGAAACAATTAGCACTTCCTTTCTAAAACCCCATTGCAGAAACAGTAAATGTTACACAAAAAAGACCTGTCTATGCAAATACGTTGTCACTCAGAATGAACTGAAGGAGTCAAAATAATCTTCTGTGAGAGATTAGTTGGTGTTGTAGACTAAAGCAAATGAGAGAAGACTTGTCAAGCACCAACCCCCAGATTCTCCTTGACCTTGCTGCCCTTGACCACTGTTTTGTGTACCTGAGGACAGTACAGCTTAGCAAGAGAATAGACCTAACCACTGGAAGCAGTTTTGCAGTGCATCCTTAGAACGTCTCTTTTCACCCTGGTCTTCCCTGGACTTATTACCTTTCTCTGTGGGAATTGACACAGAAGGACCTTCTGGTTTAAAGAAGCTGAAGGAGCTTACAAGTCAGAAGGTCACTATCCATTGACCTTTAATGATGCAGAAAAGCATATGACAGTTATTTGATTTTTAAAAACTTAAAAAACAAAGTTATTTCAGTTATTAAAAAATTGACTCTTTAAAAATAATAGTTATTTGAACAATTTTTTTCTTACATAACCTAGATTAGGAAAATAATAGCAACCATATAATTGTAACCAGACGAGATATACCAGGTCCTTGGGACTCAGAGCCATGGAAATGAACATACCCAGTACATGGTTGAGAAAGCGAGCTTTATTGAGAGATCACTTATGCATGAGGGAGCCAACACTCAAGGGAAGTGTTGCTTTCCAAGGGTTCAGCGTGAGGGGTTTTTAAAGGTAAAAGAGCTGGGTAAGGGGCTTGGGAAAGACGATGAGGCCTCCAGTCTCACAACTGGGGGCTCTTCGTCAGTTGGTCACAAAGTGTTCTGTTTTCACCTTCAGCAGGTGGGGGCTGATGGTTATCCCTTCTGCCTGGGCCTCATTGTTCTGTTGAGGGCTGGAAAAGAATGCTTACACATGGGGGTTAATGACATGTTTGTGGGAAGGGGACATGTGGGAGTCTGGGGGGTTTGTCTTTAACCCCTGCCCTCCCTGGTGCTTTCTGGAACAGGACATGGTCTGCTGCCCGTGGGGTCTCTGCTGCATTTCCAACATGTAGACTACTGTTGGGTTCTTGGTGTGGACAACAAAATGGAGTCTCTCCTGTCAGCCCTGTCCTTACTCCTGCTTCCAAATGTGAAGTGAATAGTGCATAATCCTTTGGAAGACAATCTATGCTTGCTGACCTCTCTCTCTAGGGCTGAATTTCAGAGAGTGATGTTCATGTTAGTGCTGTAGAGACACCATGTTTATTTCCTTGTTGTAGAAATTAAGGAGGAAAAAGTTAAAGGATGATGCAAGAGAATGGGGAGCTGTTCTTAGAATGGGAGAGTTGGCATTTCTAAACAGCCTGATATATATTCATGAGGTGTCTTTTATATGAATTCATCTAGTAGTTTTTGGTTGTCACCTTGCCATTTCTCTTTAACGTCTGTGCTTGGAGTGGTGAAGGCTGCTGTGGGACTACTGATTGATGACGGAAACAAAACAGGTTTCTAAAATAAACCTCACCTTGGGCTGAGTCTTATAATCTCAGTGTTGACATCTTGTTCTGTAGGTAAAAAGAGAATGTGGTTTAGATTGTTATTCAGTAACTAGTGTATAACTTGCTGACGAAGAGAGGTCAAAAAACATGGAAAATGCTCTAGAAAATACACATCAACATTTTTAGGTTTATGGGGTAACTTGTAAACAATGATTATAACTTCTGTATTTTTACCTACCAATGAAAATGGGACAACTCTAGAATAAGGCATCCCCCTCCTAAGTAAACTTTCCTATACAGTTTTTTCAGCTTGTAATAGACTTCAGAGCCACTTTTTAACCCTGTTGGTCTGTGTTTCTCAGTTTGATCCTCATGTTTGGCTCCTAATAAACTCTAAAATTCTTTTGCTTCAATAGTCTTAACTTTGGTTGACAAGATAATGGATAGTCCTATTCAGACCCGAGTGGAGAAGCAGCCTAGGAATTTGAGAAAGTTTGAATTTTGTCTCATTAGTGGTGTTTATTCAGACAAATTACTCCACCTCTCTATGCCTCAGTTTTTCCAGTTGATTAATGGAAGTGATAGTACTTTTCAGAATTGTTTTGAGAATAACATGTGATAGTAAATATAAAGTGGTTAGCATAATTCCTGCACTAGCGAATCCTAGATTTTCTAGACTTGCCTTTAAGGAAACAATTTTATTTATTTTATGGCTGAAGTAATTACACATGCCCAGACTGAGGTTGGGTTTGGCATCCTTATAACAAGATTATTATTGAACTTACATGGTGCTTTGACATCTAACACAATGTTATGGAATTTATATCTCAGCTTGTGTAATCAGTGTGTCCGTGCTCATTTACAATTTCTAGGTAATCATTTTGTTACATGGTGCTTTGACATCTAACACAATGTTATGGAATTTATATCTCAGCTTGTGTAATCAGTATATCCGTGCTCATTTACAATTTCTAGGTAATCATTTTGTAGAAAGTTGCCACTATTGTAATAGTCTCCTTTGGAACTTTATGGAAATTTGAAATATTTGTATAGACTGAAACTTACTACAGAATGATATTCATAAATTTAATTAATATTTAACAAGAGTATGCCATTTATATATAAAACCAGACAACTCCATGACACCAAATTCTTGATTTTGTGAGTTTGAACCCAAAGCTGAATTAAAGGTGACATATTTTCTATTTAGTTTTTTTTTTTTTTTATTCTACTTGCTGCCTTCTTAAGGCTCACATGGTAATCTTCTGGAGGCATTCTACCTACACCTGCTACTGTTTATAGGTTGCCAGTAATTTGGGTTGTCTCAGCTGGTGCTTCATTTGTTTTCTACTCTCCCCAAATTTTCCAGGGAAATGTAAAATCCTTTTCTCTCCCTTTAAAATGCCTCCCCAATCAACCCAAAGACTACTTTTAGCTCAAATTTTCTACAGTATCGTGGATATGCTATAGGTATACTACTTATTACAGCCAAAGAATTATATTTGTACTATAGCTACTGGCATTTTTTTTTGGTATCTTATTCTAGTGGATTTGATTATGTCCCTCTAAAACTCATTGAAGCTTGAATTGTATCCCCCATGTTTTATGTATTAGGAACTTGGCCCCCACTGTGACTGTTGAGAGGGTGGCAAATCCTATTATGGTAATTGAAAGGTTGAGCTTTGAAAAGGTGATTGGCTTGTAGGACCCTGCAGTAATGAATTAAAAATGGATTAAAAATGGCGGTCAGGGGCATGGTTCTGAGGTCTTTAAAAGAAGAGGAGAGTCTGTCTTTCTCTCTCTGCTTCCATCATCTTGTAATGTGAGACCCCTGGGTCACTGTTGCCACCACCAGATGGACTTGGGACTTCTCAGCCTCAGAAACTGTGAGCAATAAATTTAATTTTCTTTATAGATCACCCAGTTCCAAGTATTTTGTTATAGCAACACAAAATAGACTAATACACTTATCATTTGACTTTAAGCTCCCTGAGGGCAGGGCCTATGTTTATTTCATTTTTCTATCACCTGTAATGTCGAGCATAGTGCCTGGCTAATCAATGGAATGTAAAAAAAAAATGTGTTGAACTGGCAAATACTAACTTGAGAGGCATACAGCACAAAAGGAACTGGCATGCCATTGTTTATTGGCTGAAATAAAGCTAAAGTATTAATGAAGAGCTAAACAAATGTAAATTATGTTACTGTTGTGTTTCAGAGGGTAATGGATCTTTAGGACATATATAAATTGTGCAATAGTAACCAAGAGACCCCTAAATTTGTCAAAATACCAAGTTGGATTCCTATAAAAACCCAGGCCTAGCAGAGTGTAAAGGATGTTAAGACCTCATCTGCAGAATGGACTGCTGGTCCAGGGCCCATCTGAGGCAGACTAGGCAGGAGTCCAGCTGGGTAAAGGCCAGGATAGGTGATTGGCACGGGTGGAAAATAGAAAATATGTCACCTTTAATTCAGCTTTGGGTTCAAACCTGGCAGGGCCAATATTTAAAGTAGGAAGTGGTTTCTATTAAGAGTACTAATAACTATGAAGGGGATGCCCAACACAATGATTTTTTAAAATTTAATTTGATTAAGCCACCCTGACTTGGGCTCTGCATTAAATAGGAAGTCCTGACTAATATCTCCACATGTGTTTACACAATTCCACTTAGAGCTGAGGTCCTGACTTGGGCTAAACAGGAAGCAATAGTGCTAATCATGAAACAAATCTGAGGAAAATACTGCTATCAATTTTATTAAATTAAGTTGGAAAAATACGGCATTTACTTGGTTCTAAGCATGCGTATTTGGAAACAATAGTAAGAATTTCCTTTGACTTCACCCATATAATACACATATACAACTTTTACCTTGCTCTGTGTATTAGAACTTACATTCGTCCAGGAAATTTGTACATTGTCCACTTAATGACTTCATCTCTCATTTGGTGTTAGACTTTGAGTGTGTTCTTGTGGTCTCTCTCAGGGGGCAGTTACAATAAAATCCATAGGCAGGAACAGGAGTGAGAACATTCACAGATGATATCATTATACATTTGAAAAAAATCAAATAATAATTCTCCATTTTCAAAATCAACAACAGAGCTTCTGATCATCAAGAAATAGTATTTTCTTTTCCATGCAATCCTGAAAAAAATCCAAATGGACAGAAAGAGACTTGACATTTTGATTAATTTATCAAGTATATCATGAATAGGAAAAAAATTTCACTTACGCATATTTTAAAAAATTAACTTTTTTTAAAAATTAAAAGTTAGTGCATAATTATAATGAGTCTCTTCCCTAACCTAGACCCTTGTTGTTCTTCTGCTCCTATTTACTTTCTCTTCCTTCTCTACTATCCACCCTGCTCCTCTCAGAGGCAACTACTCTAACCAGTTCTTTTTGTGGCTCTTTCTAGGAATATTCGAGCCTGGCTTCATGAAGAGAACACATATGTGCTGCATTTCCAAGTCAGATTTCATGAACGTGATGAAATGGTTGCTTTACACTAGTGTTGGGGAGTTTTGTCATGCTTCAGTAGTAGTAACTGGGTAGTAAGCTTTAATACCTGATAAGGCTAGACCTTCGTCATTCGTCTTATTTTCCCACCAGAAATTTTCTGACTAGTCTTGCTATATTTATGTATACATTTTATTTTATTTTTTATTGCTAAAATTGTTTAAAAAATAAATTTTTATTTTAGAATAGCTTTATATTTACAAAAAAAAAATTGCAAAGATAGTTCAGAGAGTTCTCACATACCCACACCCATTTTCTCTCTTACTAATGTTTTATGTTACTAAGATTTTATTTATTTATTTATTTATTTTTGTTAAAAGGAAAATTTATTTAATGTAAATGTGTACATTAGTAAATAAAAAAGATCTCAACACAACAATTACCTTTGCACCTTAAGAAACTAGAAAATGAAGAGCAAACTAAGCCCAGACCTAGCAAAGGAAGTGAATAATAAAAATTAGAGCATAGATAAAAGAAACAGAAAATTTAAAAAAAAAAAAAGAAAAATCAATGAAACCAAAAGTTGGTACTTTGATGAGATCCACAAAATTGATAAACCTTTACCTACGTGAACTAAGAAAAAAGAAAGAAGACTCAAATAACTAAAATCAGAAATGAAAGAGGGGTCATTACAACCAAATTTACAGAATTCAAAAGAGTTATAAGAGAATACTATGAATAATTGTTGGTCAACAGATTAGATCATCTAGATGGAATGAATAAATTCCTAGAAACATGTCACCTACCAAGACTGAATTATGAAAAAGAAGAAAGTTTGAACAGAACTATAACTAGTGAGATGAGTGATTATCATTTTTTAGATTCCAGATGCAGGACTCCCTTGAATCCTTGCAGGGCTGGTCGTGCAGTGAACTCCCACAATTTTTGTTTGTCTGGAAAATACACTGTTTCTACCTCATTTCTGAAGGATAGACT